CTGTATGGAGGAGGGTGAAGTGGAAACATCCCGGCACTTTCTCCTCCATTGTCCGGCTTTTGCTAGGTTGAGATCGAAACATCTCGGCAATCACACTTTTGGCGGACCAGAAGATCTGGCCGAAACAGATATTGGCCGTCTCAACAAGTTTGTCATAGGCACAAAGCGCTTTGTCGACATGTAAGGGTCTATTGATCCGGCTCATAGGAGTTTTGGGTACCACAACGGACCGGCGTTTAAGCTGTCCAAGTGTGATCCTTCTTAGGATCGACCCGCTAACCTAACCTAACCTAAGTTTAGTTTTGAGTCGCTCTATGAACTTGAGCATGTAAGCGATTACCCTGATGGCACTCTTTAAGTGTATGCACATGTGACAGACAATTTGTACAAAGTCTTTTTGTTCTTACAAAGTTGTTTCAATCGGTAATATTAATTTTTTTGAATTTCTTGCAAGTTTTGAGCTTATGCCCTTCGGTACACAGTTCGCATGACGTTTGTTTGTACTGTTCGGATGTGAACGTTTGATTTCTGAAGAAGCTTCTGTATAAATTGTTGTTGCTACTGGCTTGAGGTTTGTGAAAGCTTCTTTTTAGGTCGTGTTGAACGGTTTTCGTTCTGACCATATTTTTATATACTCTTTCTGCGATTTCGTATTGGGTTATTAAAAAGTCTTTCATCTGTTGCCACGTTGGACATTTTTTTCGAGATGAGAGCGATTGCTCCAACAAAAGTAACGATTTTTCTGGTAAAACGGCGGGTATATACATATTTACCAGTATTGGGTCCCAGCTGTCTGTGGGAATATTTTGTGTCGATAGAACCGACAAGCAATTAGAAACAGTGGATTGCAGTTTTATAAACTCTTCGCTTGTTTCCTTTTGAATCTTAGGCAAGTTCATTAGTATCGTTACTTGCTTATCGACCAATATTCTTTCATTTTCATATCTAGATTTAAGAGCTTCCCAAGCCAAATTAAAATTATCGTCATTTAGTGCGAACTGTTTTACTATTGCGCCTGCTTGACCTTTTTTTTGTATCGGAGGTGATACAAATTTTGTGCATTTAATTTTGGGTGGTTCATGTAAACGGCTGTGAACATGTCCCGGAAGGACGGCCATTGTTCATTACCACCATGAAATATTTCTGTGTCACATGCGGGCATCTTGAGATGGATGCCTGAACTTGCCTCTTGACTTTGTACTTGTGGCAGCTCTACTCGCTGATGTGGAGTAGGTGCAACTTTTTGATTAGCTTAAGTTGACCGGAAATCATTACTTTAGTTTCTTCGAACTGGTCTAAGCAGTTTTCGTATTTGGAGTAACCTGAAGATTTGAAATTTTCTGGTAGATCTGAGTCGTCAGATTCTACAAGTGTATATGTCATATGCAGCTTGGAGACGAGACCAAAAACTATCAAGATGATAATGATGAGATGAGAATCTAGTGCAGTATCTTATTAAACTGTCACTTTCCGAAATGAATTTTGTGTAAGAAATGTCTCTACCCCTTTTTTGTTTTGTCGCACCTTGCTTGGAGCGTGTAGCTTCTGCTGGTGTGCATGGACTTTTTTCGTCCGAAATCATTTTTGGTACTTTTAGAGACTGTGTTGTTTTTGAATCTTTTGAGTCTGAGCTCCTTAAGAAATATTATGAAATAAATTAAAAATTCCTCAGTGTCGACTGATGGATAATTCAGGAAATATCTTCGTATATATAAATGTGTGAACGAAAGCTCTTTTTAGTGAATAGAGTTTTTCACTTCGAACAAAATTAATATTAGTTTCCGTATATATGTATAACCGCGAAACAAATTTTTTTTTTGTTAATTAGCGTTCTTAATTTGAAATAAATAACTGAAATACACGGATTTAGTTGTTATAGATACCGGTTCGTATTTATTTTTAATTTAATTTTATTTAACAATTTATTGACAATTTTTTATTTATTTAATTTAATTTTTTTGATGTCCTTATTTAGGGGTATGTAGGTACACCCTAATGCGTGGACTTGTAGGTATGTATATATGTACTTGTGCAATTGAGAGCTCGTTGAAGAGATCAATGCACTTTGTACCTATGTACGAGTAAGCACGAATGGTTTGCGCTGAAAAGTTTTGTACGCAATCCTGCTTGCTTGCTGCAAGGGGTATTGAGAGATATATGCCAAAGTGGACCTTGAATATAAAATATAAATTTAGTTTGAACCAATATGTATGTATATTGTTCAACATTTTGTATTTTTTATATTATGTAGTATGATATTTATTAAATAATCCGCGTTTTATTTACCGAACCGAATTTATGCGAAATATTCCGATTGGTTTTCTTATAGTTGTACCATATGTACATATATAGGGTATATAAGTATAAGCGATTGTATACTGTATGTAATGCAAATAAGCGAATTATGTATAATCGTAAAAGAGCGCGAGAGAGAAATTGGCAATAGCAGGTAATGGCGCAATTTTCCGTAAGCACTGTATGTACGTATGTAAGTTTTTAATTGTATGTATAAATGATGTACAGGATATATACATATGTATGTAAAATACGATATTAAATATTTAATATGGGAAAAATTCATATGTATGTATACATAATTATGCACGCTGTATATAATTTTATATATGTAATTTTTATACATACGTTAGAAGTATATGTAAGTACTCCTTTTAGTACGTATATATATATTTTTTTTTTTCGTTTAACTTCGTTTATTGTATATATGTATGTATATTTATTTTTTGTATATTGTGCTTGAATACACGAAGGTAATCAGGTACAGGTAGTCAATTTTTATATATTATATACATATATGTCTGAGGTATATATTAATGTGTATGAATGACACTATATTACTATAAACGGTTTTTCGTTATTTAAACCCGCAATTTAAACCGGTAAGTTAGACCAAATTGCCAACCGTTACCAAGATATTGAACGGTTTTTTTGGTGTTTAATTGAAGTTTTTTATACAAAATGTAAACTGCAATTCGCAATGAATATACATATGTATCTTCATAAATATAAGAAAATGAATCGAATTGACTCACTTAATTTCCTCCAATGGTTTTTGGGGAATATATGTATATTTGTAATTACGTGTATGTACGTCTACGTGTGCTTCTGTGTTTCTTCCAATTCCTGTCCTTTCCTTTGGATTTTGTGTGTGCTAGGTGCTGCTTTTTGTGGTTTTTGGTTTTTTGTTACTCTACTCCCGAATGTATATTTGTTGTTGGGATCGCACCCGTTTCCTTTTATTGTTGTTATTTAAATGTAATTTAAGCTTTTATCTCTTTTTTTTTGGTTTTTGTCACACCACTTTTTAGCCACTCTTTATTTTTTGTTGTCAATATGTACATAAGGGGTTTTTTTTCGGAGAACACAGTGTATATATGTATAAAAAAAACTTTTTGTATATATGTTTAATACACTTCCCAGCACTTTAGATGTTTTTTGTTTTTCCTTTTTGTTTGTTAAACACTGCACTGCAATTGTTCGTCCCTTAAGATAGCTATATATATTTTTTTTCCACTGTTCCACTCCACTTTCGTTTTGTTCACTTTATATACCTATATATATACATATTTTTTTTTTGTTTTCGTATATCTATAGTGCCTTTCTTTTAGGCTCGTAGGACCATGTATTTATTCCATCCTTTTGGAGTTATTGCACTCACCACTCACTCTTCAATATCGTATCGCAACAATTGACTAAACTGAATTATAATATATTTAACATCCACTCAATACAACAATAACTTGCGACGCAGCGCAAAAAATGTATAAAAATGTAAATGTAAATAAAATAGAGAAAAAAAAATGGATTGTCCGGCTCTGGCCCGATACTGCGACAGGAATCAGAACGTTGACCAGGTGTCCGCTTCGAATTTGATACGCCAAAGAGGTCTGCCGCTTCGAGTGTCAGTGGTTTTGTTTATGGTTGGTGGGGTGATCGACCGGTGTGTTGGGTATCCTGGGTGGTAGTGTCGTTGTGTGAGGTGTATGTTGGGTGAGGTGAGGTGGTGAATGTTGCGAGAGGTGATGTGGTGAATGTTGCGAGAGGTGATGTGGTGAATGTTGCGTGTCGGTGATGTGTGATGTAGATTGTGTTAGTTGATGTGGGAGGTGTGTAAGATTTCGGGACAACGTAGGCTCATTTAGCCACATGGCACTTAATGCCATTTTGCATTCGGCAGTTTTTTCTCTGTTCACATACCTGCGAGGGAGCTGTGAGTGGGTAGAAGCGGTTGGAGGAAAATTTATGTATATTGTCAGAAACTCTCCATCAACTTCAGTTTCAGGCTCCCTAACTATTGCAGTGTTTTTTAAGCCGAAGTTGATGCCATTAAGGTAGATTTACTGCTCTAGAGTATGGGTGTCAGACCACAGCGGAATGGCAGGAAACTATAAAGCTGATGAGCTGGCAAGGAAGAGCCCTGATATCAGTAGAATGGAAACGGGTCGGTGCTTCCCTCTCCTCGTGTGTTACTACTGGATAGCCGGGATTCACGAGAACTTGGCCAGCGCTGAGCTACCATCGGTTCATGAGCTGTCGCAAAATCGTTTTGACCCAAGATCGCTCGTAAACGATCCCGTTAGCTGTGGGGGTTCTAACAGGCAATTGCCTTATCGGATGCTGTAAGGTTGAGTATCTTACCGCACGCCAGCTGCAGAAGCTGTATGGAAGAAGACGAAGTGGAATCATCACAACACTTCCTTTTTGATTATCTCGAGATCAAACCTTAAACACTTGGGAGATCACACTTTCAGATGTCCCTCCGAACTGGTGGGAATAGAAATTAAACGCTTGAGCAAATTTTTATTACCCACAAGGCGCTTTGCTGACTTATACCTATATACCATATATTTTATAGGGTCTCCGACGTTTCCTTCTGAATTGCAGACCCAACAACCACCTGTTAACCATGGGGCCACAATAGACCATAGGCCGCAGTGCAAGCCTCAATTTGTTTCTATCTATCTAACATTTTGTACACCTACCATCGATAAAGTAGAGGATATATCTTGCATATCCTTCAGCATAAAGTTAATCAGTAAATCACTTCGACTGCCTTGATTAACAATTTTACACCATAAAGTAATGACATCATATATTTTTCCATGTAAACGCCTAAGAAAAATGGATTTAATATCAGTTGTTACGGAATTGAAAATTTTAACTTACATATATGTTTTCTTTTGTTCAATTACGATTTTATGAGAGCTTAGTTTAAGCATATCTCCCAAAATCATCCATATTTGTTTATAATTCTTCCTTAAATGACTTTTTAACCTAAGAAATACATAAATAAGTACAGCATTACTGCAATTTCGTTTCTGCTTACGTTATGATTAAAGCTTTTAAAACTTGTAGCAAAATGTAATAAAATTCAGGTAGGAGTAGATTACGCATGATACTATTAATTGTTTTTTTTCTGTTGTTGAATAATTGAATAACATTCAAGGCACCTTTTATAATATCAATGATTCTATTTGCGTTAACAGGTTTTTCACTTAAAAATGGTTCCCTTTTTAAAAAAGAATAATTCAGTCAATTAATAAAAAATTATGTAACTCATTAATTTACCGTAATGTCACAATAAAATATACCGCCACATTTTTAAAGCGTATGAAAACTTGTGAAATTCTTTTTATTGGATCATCACAAAGTTCCAACATAGGAATATTCAAAGGTTCACAGTTCATAGCTTGAATAACTGGAGAATTCAGTACTCCTAAGAATGAGTCCGACAGCGTTTGTAACATATCTAAGAGTTCTCCTTGATACGTCTCCCAAAGATCCTTAACTGCTATTCTATTGAAACAATATTTCGATATAGAAAGCAGATGATGATAACATTTAGCAGCACTCTCCATGACATTTTGATTGTGGGAATCCATAAATTGAGATAAAAAATCTTTAACTATGCCGCTACTTTGAGCACTATATTCAGGATAAAATTGTAACAGAATAACCATAAGACGAAGAACCGCCAAATTATCTGTAGGAGTGTAATATTTTTTACTTATTATTTCAAGGAGATTCTTGACGTAATTGCAACCAAACATTCTGCGTGATTCCTCTGAAGTGTAGGCTAATTCAGCAAGTACGCCTAGAAAAAATGCTTTAATCAAAAATTAATTAACAACAATGAAATTGTAAACATACCAAGAATTGCAAGTAGTTGGTTGGCGTCCCGATTCTCTTTACATGACACATACAACTTTAAAAGTATTGAAGTCCAAAGGCAAGTTTTTTTATTCATCGTTTCATTGTAGGCACCACTTAGCAACCGAAGCGCTAATGAATAATTTCCAGAATTCCGCATAGAAGAACATATGACTTTTTCCAAGGCAACCTGTTCTTTAAATAAAATCATAATTTAACGACAATAATAACAATACTACGAAGCAACAAAGTTGAAGTCAATAACAAGTAGGGTAGGGCTGAGCTTGAGTTTAACTGAACATTATATTAAAAAAATGTTCGTAAGAATTCAACATTCACTATTCGGTGAAACCGTAAATGGATTACAATTATATTGAATATTCGATAAATTGATGCCATATGGAAGGTATTTTGACAAAACTGGGAAAGTCGATTTGCATGAGTTTCTCTTAAGGCGAAGTTTAAGCCAGAAAAATCCTTCGCATAGACAGGAACTGATAGTAATCAATTGGTTCTACATCGCGACTATAAAGTGGAAGTATATTAAACATTTCAACCATGCTCCCGGAGCTTCTAACTAGTTCCTATCGATGTGTGTGGCCTGACATTGTCCTTGTAGAGCACAACTCTTTTTCTATTGAGCAAATCTGGCGGCTTCTATGTAATTGCTTCATTTATACAGTCCAATTGTTTTCAGTACATGTCCGAGTTAAGACATGATCTACAATTCGCCGATGGAAACTCGATCTACAAAGTTTTTCTGCGTTAACTCGTGTGGCATCCTTGTTTTTGTATCCTTATTTAAATGGTTCTAATGAGTGGTATCTTTTTAGAAAACTACATTGTTGATGTTATCATTAATTTCCAATCGATAGATTCAGGGTTGAAAATTTTTTTTCAAAATTTTTGGATGAAAAATTAAACTTAGGGCTTTAACTAATCCGACTTTGGGATTAAAAATAAAATTTGGTTATAAAAATTTAAAATATTACTTTTTGATTTAAAAGCTAATGAAAAATTGATAATTCTAAAATAAATTATTTTTGTAATTCTTAAGTATATGATTAAAATTTTTCTTTTAATTATATTTGTGGCAACTGGACCGATTTAGCGGACAAGTGCAGCCAGAGGCGACTATCAGTTACGCTGCCTAAAACTTAAGGTTAAACTTTAAACCCGTTTTTCTCGAAATACTTTTTTCGATGCAAATGTGAGAAGAAAAGAATACATATGTACTGTTTGCTTTGTTTATAGAACCGAACAAGTGATGTATTTTTGTGTCTTTTGCCTTCGTTGCTATTCAAGCTCACAACTTGCATTGCTGTAAATGATATCAAACAATGTTAATAGGTCACTCGTTCCTTCGGTGATATTAAGTGCACTTGCAGCAAGCTTCAAAGACGGAGTGCAATTTTTTTTAAAATAAATTTTGTGTACTCTTTATGACTGTGGCAGATGTGTAGAAATGTAGTAAACTCAAATATTAGCTTTGTTTCATAGGCAAAAGCGATGCTCTGCACATCCAATTAAATACAAAAAAACCTTCCTGACTGCCAATTCTGAGTTGGCCACCGTTTGCGCCCGATCACGGTGACTCGACCACGACTGTTTCATAACCACGAATCATCCGTTTGAGAAATTGATCAATTTTATTTCGATTCAGCAGTAATACACTGATAGAAATTCAGTCCATGAGGTTATTTGGGTTAATTCCTATGGTACCCATACATCGAGTTTTTTTTTTTGTATCCAGTCTATTGTTCCTAAGTGCAGCCTTTTTTGACGAAGTGTACATTCAATCCAAAGCAGAGAAGTATTTAATTACAATGTACCAACATTCTCAGTCGTCCAAGAGAGATCCTTATTGGCTTTTGTCAGCATCGACTTTTTAACCTTACCTAACTTATTAAAATGATTTCATACGTATTTAGCTCCTGCGCAATCGAAACCGTGTTTATATTACTGTCGGACTCGACGTATTCCATTTTTGTATCCATATCTTTTACAATTGGCCTTCCAGAGCTGTGTCTTAGACTACCTGTTTTGCGTTTTTTGCCCTTATCGAAGAAAAATCTCAAATAAGTAAGTGTAAAATTCAACATGAATAAAAAAATTACATAATAAAAATGGCTAAATTTATGAAATTTGTATAAAACAAAACTTAAAAATATTGGGTAAATTTTAAAATAGGGGTGGTAGAGGAGGTTCTCCAGACTAAGAATATTAATATAGCTGCCGCTGACTTATTGCTTTTCGTTCAATTCGATTCACACACACAATAACAAATGGGTTGCATACTAATGAATAATTAATGCTACCTTATTTAAATATATATTTGGCAAACCAACCAAAAGAAATAAAGACAAAATACCACATACGCGAAGAATCTTTTTGCATTGGCGGCCTTCGGCCGTGCTTCAAAAAATTAATCCTGGTCGATTCATCACCGTGGCATCCTAAGTTCTTTCACGTAGAACAGCTTTGTGCGTTAGCGGCTTTCGGCAAAGCTTAAAAAAAAATAACCCTGGTTGGTCAAATATCAGGCCGTCCTCAGCTTTAAAAATACACCTGGTCGATCCAAAGCCTGGATTTAACAAGAGAGGGGAAATTCTGGAAGATTTTACGTTACCCATCACACGGGGGTAATCAACAAATAAATATATATATGTATATATGATATAAAATTGCTCTTGAATATACCTGAGCAATGTCAAAAGTTAGTGAAATCACCCCAGATCTTTACTGCCCCCAATATGCCCTATATGATTTCCGACTCCCCTATCTTTAAACCGTTTAGGTTGGTCAAAATGTGTGATGTATTAGAAAATTTAAGTGACAAGCTTTTTTAAAAATTACGTGGTTTAGCACTTAATATGAATAGAATTGATTTAGACCTTTGCCCAAACCTCACATCCTTGATATAATCAATTCCAATCCTCTAGTTCACGTTTTGCACATCAACCCAATATATAAAACTTCGCCTTTTCGTTGGAGTTTATGTCAGATAGATCTTATTTGAAGATGATTTTAATATAATTTGTGCTGATGGGATGTAAAATATCGTTATCAAACTAATTGAATCTATGACCAATAATATAAGTTAATAAGATGCAAATTCGATTGTAAACCATTCAGTTTCGTCGAACAATTATTGTTGAATTTTTTCGCAACATTTATTGATATAAAAATTTGCCAACACCTGAAAGTATTTCCCCGGATTTGATCCTTGCAAGTTGCAAGACTATGATATATTCGGTTACATACGAACTTAGCTCTTTCTTACTTGTTAAAATTAAACTTCAATTACTTTTTGAAAATTAATAAAACGGGTTTTTTTCTCAGTTTTGGATGCAACTCAAAAGTTTTAATGTACAAGTTTATTATTGAAAGTCTTTCCAAGTATGACCTCTTAGGTTCCCCGCCTTACAGTTTTCGCTTATTTCATATTATCAGATAGAAATATTTAAATCTCGCTTCCAACTACTTAAAATAATATCTCGGTTCATAGATTTTGTAGGAAAGTTAATGCTCTACAAAAGAGGACTTCCGCTATTTTTTCGTAAAACTAACCGTTTAAAGAAAATTAGCGGTTGAAGTTTGATTATTGTAAGGCAAATTTTTTTTCTTATGAATTTTTAACTCAATAAAAAGAAATCATTATAAATTGGAAAGCTCATAGTTTGGAGGAAATTTGCTACTCTACAAAAATTGTATAATTTTTCGATTAAGTTAAGCATTTACGAGATATTAATCGTAAACATCAATGCATATTATAGGTATGGTAAATATAATATAACTAATACACTGACCAATATATTCAGCATAAGGTTTATTAGAATAACGAAAATGATTATATGTAGTGTATGGGGGTTTTTCGTAGTCCAATATCACATATTTTCGGCAATAAACTATAGTATGTCCAATATTATACGATCAGTTAATTTTGTTAAGATATCTTACATATTGACCGATATATACGGAATAATCCAACCGGAAGTTTGAAAATCTTATATTATATATGTTATATATGAGAGATAGTATTGAACCGCTTATATCTAATTTTGCCATTACCACATATTATTAACTAGTTAGGGGCTAAGCAAGTTTTCACTTGATTTTATCCATTTTAAGCACATAGATGCATTGTTTTTAACGGTATAAATTCAGCCCTTATCTGGGAACTACGGGAATTATTGATCCGATTCAAAACATTTTTGGCACACGGGCATAATATTATCAAGTAAGGATTCTCTAAGTTTGTATCATATTTCTCGCAGATTGACCGATATTTTCGATAAAAACCACGCTTGAACAGTTTTGTCCGATTTGGATAATTTTTAGTCATAAGCTGGCACACTTCAAGAGCAGTATTTGTGCACAGTTTTATCCCGATACGCTTATTGGTGTTTAATTATATGCTTATAAATCACTTTTCCTTGATTTCCGGTGTAAAATTGTATGTTTCTGCCGCATTTATTTATTGATTTTCGAGCTTTTAGTAGTTTTTAACAGGACCATTATATGGGGAGTGAGCGGGGTTCTCATCTAATTTCATCAGTTTTTACAGTGTCGCTGGGCTGCTTAAGTGATTTGTCCAGAGCGAATTTGTTTATAATAGCTGGAATGGCTTAGGAGATATGTACATTAATCTTCTTAGAATGCGGGGTCACGCCCTCAAACTTTTTTGTCTGCAAGTGACCCTTGCTACTGCGATCCCCTGTACCTAATTACAGTTTTATTACGCCCATCTACGAACTCGTCCTCCCTTTTTCGCGAACGAACACGTGTGCAATTTCATTAAGATATCTCAATTCATACTCATTAATACTTTGTATATGCACTTTTGCCCTCTATCACGGTTTGCAGTCTTTTATTCATAGAATACACAAAATGTTGTATAAGTTTAAGATGTACATTTGCCAATATTGCTGCAGAGCAGCCTTAACCTCATTTTTATACTCTCGCAACCTGTTGCTACAGAGTATAATAGTTTTGTTCACCTAACGGTTGTTTGTTTATCACCTAAAACAAATCGAGTTAGATATAGGGTTATATATATATAAATGATCAGGATGAAGAGACGAGTTGAAATCCGGGTGACTGTCTGTCCGTCCGTCCGTCCGTGCAAGCTCTAACTTGAGTAAAAATTGAGATATCTTTATGAAACTTGGTAGACATGTTTCTTGGTACCGAAATCGGGTGGCAACTCCGCCCATTCCCCATATAACGGTACTGTTAAAAACTACTAAAAGCGCGATAAATCAAGCACTAAACACGCCAGAGACATTAAATTTTATCTCTGGGATGGTATGAGATGACTTTATAGGAACCGCGTTCAAAATTAGACAGTGGGCGTGGCACAGCCCACTTTTAGGTGAAAACCCATATCTTGAGATCTGCTTAACCGATTTCAACCACATTCGGTGCATAACGTTCTTTTCATGTTTCTATGTCATAGTGCGAAAATTTAAATTCCATCTGATTCTTTCACTTTCCACAATGCAAATCAGGCAACAATGACTGTATCGGGATAAAACTTTGCGTGAATAATGCGATTAAAGTATGCCACCTTGTGGCCAAAAATTGTCTAAATCGAACCAAAACTGTTTAAGCCCCTAAGTACTAAATATGTGGACCCCAGTGCCTATAGTTGACCTTCTACCGAAAATATCAGTCAATCCACAAAGAAATCTCAAACGAGTATACTATTTGACTTTGTGAGAGTATAAAATGTTCAGTTACATCCGAACTTAGCCCTTCCTTACTTGTTGCTATTAACTTTGCGCACTCGTAACTTTGTCTCCATATAGGCCCACAGATATTCTATCAGATTAAGGTCACGACTCTGGGGAGAATGCGGCTGCACTTTTTTCACGGTGTACAACATCCATTGCTTATCCTCTAAAGGAAAATGTTTATCCTTAAAAAAGCAGTAACCTTTTAAATTGAGTTTAGCTGCTGATGGAGCCAAATTTTTTTGTAATATGGCCAAGTTCATTCTTTTCATAATTTCTTCGATTAAAACAAGGTTACCGACGCCATTTGCTCACATTGCACCCTATTTGCTTCTCTTTCATCCCACGTCATAATGCAGCCTCCACCATGCTTGACAGTATTTATTTAATTTTTATCTTTCAGTGCTAAGGAATTCTTAGGCGATACAAATCGACCATCAGATCCAGCTAAAATAAATTACGTTTTTACGATGGATAAACTCTTTGCAATATAATAAACGTTTCCCAATATCTCTCTTTGAACTCGAAAGTGTGACTTATTTTGTGGTGTATGGGCTCTAAAATTATGTATGTGAACCCAGAAATTCTAAACAGTTTGAGGGTAGACTTTTGCAATGCCAACTTCCTTCAACTTCTTGGCGACAGCAACATCCGATATTTGGGTTTTTCCTTACTAACTACAATCTCACAAAAGAAATTCGCTTACCAAGTAATACAGTTCGAACATACGCAAATAGCAGACAAAAATAACGGTACCTACAAGATAACTGCAATTAAAGTGTTGCCAACGTAAGTGTACATGTTTGTTTGTGGCCGCTCAAAAGTCAGATATTCTAATTAATTGAAATGGTTAACATCAAAATAGATTTAGTAATACATTTTTTATAATAAACGAAAAATAGATAGGGCTCACATTTTGTTATTCTTTGTTGCAGCTTAAAAGCTAAAATAGTTTAAGTGAAAAGTAACTTCGAAGTCAAAATATCTCTCCATACAAGTTTTTTTGGTTCACTGCATATATGGTAAAACTAATCTTTTGTTTACATGCAAACCCATTGTAATGGTGTAAGTCGTATTTTTACCTCTGCGAATGGCAGGCACCTTGCCGTGGTGGAGGGGCTTAAGTCGCAAGGCATTCTCGGCATCTCCCAACTGGTGTGAGTGGTGCTTGCACCCTCACACTGGTTGTCAGAAGCCGTATGCGTGCGACAACCAAGAGCTGCCACCTCCTAATCCAGGGTGTTATGCGACTCCCGTGCCCATTGGATGATTTGCAGCCAGGAGGTAAATTTGGCTGTAGTCTAACGGAGCCTTCTCAACAC